AAAAAAAAAAAAAAAAAAAAAAAAAAAAAAAAAAAAAAAAAAAAAAACCAACAAAATGATGCTCTAGATATATTCAAGAAAAAATATAGAGGCATAAATACTTGATCTCTAAGAACAAAGACCTTTAGAACAGTAAGACACAAATCACGTTCATTAATTCACAAGTAATTTTATTGACCCTGCTATTCTGCATGTAGAATAGCAGCCAGTCTACCAGTAACGCAAGGTGACACTGTCCAGTACAAACTGTGGAAGCTGATGACCCTGGCTGGGCTCTAAGGTTTCCCAATCCTTGCAGCCTTTCTGAGTTCATGCAGGGTAATTTCTTAGGGTGTTTCTGGAAGCAACAGCTGCATTTGTTCAGGGGCTCAGCGCCACACACCACTGCCCAAAAGGCTGCTACCTTTTGGCATGCTAAATCAGCAAGTCTGCCTCATTTTCTGTTGAAAGATATTTATACCGTGGCAATGATATGTAGGTAGAGCATTTTCATTGGCAGATTAAGGACATGTGATGGAGCAAAAAGAAGTCAAACCACCCAAAAAAGAAAAATCCCTTCAGTTAGAGAAAATGCTCCCCTTTCCCCCCCAAAAAAGCACTTATTTTGAATAGAATCACAGATCGCAAAGTGAAATGTTACTTGTCTCAACCAAGAATGAGTGGCCTCCACTGCTTTTGGTTTTTTGAAGGTCACAGCCAATCAGGATCATCCGTTGCTTTAAGAAGTTAATATCAGTAATATATCCAGGAAGTAATTACTGTAAACTTTTCCTACTCTGATAGAAAATTTTTTAAGAGCATATTGGGATAGGTATGTTTAAGTGGCAGTGTTATGTGGCTTAACTGAATTTTGATAAACCCAGAGAAGAATCCAAAGCTGTTTGTTTAGTGATAGGTATAATGTGGATAATTTTTTTTTAATAATATAAAATAAAAAGAAAAATTTATTATGAGAAATCTTGTTTTTATATGCTTTATATAAGATGTATTAAGTAATTATTATACTCTTAATTATTCCCAAGATCAGTACCTGTGCAGGATTAACTGCAAGCATGTGAATGGTCCCTTGGAAGCTTTTATGATTGTTTTGGGTTTAAAATGAAGGATGAGTTTAAGATTTTGCAGGATTGGTTCCCCAGTGCCAGCCTGGGTGTAGTATAGGATTCCCTTGTAGACATAGCATTACAAACATTGCTCCTGGGAAACTCATTGAAATGCCCTTGAAACAGACTTTTTATTGTAGGTAAATCTGAAACAAAACCCTATTCTGAAAATAATGGAAATTATAAGGAAGGAAGGAAGTTATAAGGAACGAAAGAAGGAAAGAAAGAAAGGAAGGCGGGCAAAGGAAGCTCACAGTTTTCTGAAATTATGTTTTGGACTCTAAAGTATTCTGTAAGTTGTGAGAAAGGTTAAGGTTCAAAGAATAAAGRTATCTTTGGACAATTCATATTTGGTGTATTTGCAAACTGAGTTGGGAGGATTGTTACRAACACCAGAATGAACACCATTGATAATGTTTAAAGTTGTTACTTTTAAAGTAAGTGTACATATATAAATATATTGTAGTATTTGCTTTCAGCCATGACTGACATTCCTCCAAAAAGTGGAATTTTTTTTTGTAAATTTATTTTCAGCTTCAAAAAGTGGTGTTTGCTGTAGGTTCTATGTAAACACAACTGTGGGTTTGATGCTTTTGCTGAAAGATTTGGACTGTAAATATACCTGCACTCTAAACACAAGCAAAAAAAATGAGTGTTATTGGTAAGCTGTGATGGAAAATGCATTTATGCTCTGTTTGCTTGACAGTTGCAGTTAAAGTATGCAGTTTACCATCCTGCATAAGTTAAGCCAGTCATCAGATACAGGATATCTCTATTTTTATTTTTATTTTTATTTTTTTTTCTGCTGCATTTTTTTTTGATACTGAACTACTAAATACTATCTGAATTGTTCTGTTATGCAAATGAGCTTTACAATTCTTTATGACCATTCCAGTCTACGTAGCTCTTTCATAGGTTTGCATGTTGCCCTTAGTCCTCCTATCATATGGGATCATGAAGACTGTTTACAAGGCTGGTAGTCTTTCTGAAATAAGAGTGGAGAAAATGCATGCTTTTTTCTCTAATTGTTCTTTTTYGGATTAAATAAAAGTGAAGAAAATGTATTAAAATATATACTTATCTTTTCATCTCAATTTTTTCTCTTTCTAAATAAAGCCTGAGAACTTGCTTTTAGCTAGCAAATCCAAAGGAGCAGCAGTAAAACTGGCAGACTTTGGGTTGGCTATAGAAGTGCAAGGAGAACAACAAGCTTGGTTTGGTAAGCAGTTCTTTTTTATTTATTTTACCCTTCCTTCTCTGTTGCCATTAAGCCTTCACAAACCTACCAACTCTCACCCTAATATGAAACATGTAGCAGTATGATGACTTGATACATAGATCTAAGGAGTGTTTTGTTCATAGTTCAGTCTCTACATCTGGCTACACTTAGACCTTTTCCTATAGGAAAAAATGTTATCTGTGGTTCTCACTGGATTAAGTGGAGCTTGGCAGCAGATCTTCTTTGCTTTGAAGAAGAAAATATAAAATCTCTAGCCTGACTTATGGCYAATTTCCACGTTTGAGAGCTTGCTTACACAAGAAGGGGCTCTGCCTCATGTCCTCCTTTTTACTGGCAAGGCTAAGTCACTGTGCCAAATGACATAAAATAAACTGGCACATGTTTATTCATTGGCACAGCTGTGTTCATACTGGGGATTTTTCCAGCACGGCAATACTGTTAAGGAGAAAGATGGAGAGAGAGTTTACTTGCTCATGTTGTGCTTCTAGTAAATACAGATTTAGCAATGTCCTCTGTGCAAGTAGACTAGGTGCCACTGTTTTGACCATGAAATTCAGGTTTCCTGATTTGTGTCTTGTCCTAATTTTGCCTTACCTCGTGTTCTACTGTGACGTGTACACACAAGCACCTTCTTCCTCACTTACTACATTGCACCTAGGAGGAGGAACGTGGATGTACAGACTAGGAGGGAGACAGGTGGTTTCCAGTGAGATGTTCAGTCTAGGTGACTGAGGATCAAGACTGTGAGTTAGCACTGCTTCATGCACCTGCCCTGTAATTTAAACACTTWGTCCAAGTCAGTTGGAAATTTTATTCTAAAGCACTTCAGAATCTCATTTAAACAAGCAAAACACATGGGATTTGATAATTTAAGGCTGCAGACAGATGTCTGCTTTGAGATCTTGCTCTGTCAGTACAAGTTATCTCTCCCAGCTGTTTATCGGTGCCCTCGAGGTGACTGGCCTCTCGGATCTCTGAGTAAAGCGATTCATACAGCTGTTCCTTGACCCACTGGTGTCTAAATAAGCTGGCTTACTGAAGATGTACAATGGCTAACACATGAGCAGTTCACAGGGTACATTACAGAGACCAGAAACCCAGGGAAAAAGTTGTTAAAAGCGTCAAAAAAAAAAACGGGTGCAGTAGTCTGGGGAAGGATGTTATGCACAGCTCATGTCTTTTTCGAAGTTGATATTCAAGTTTCTCAACCACTTTGGTGAAAAGTTTGGCAACATTACTGTCATCTGAAGGGGGGATCAAGAGTTTACATGTTTGGTGATGGCAACAAAGTTATATCAGACTCTAACTCAAATATGAACTGACAGGAAGCACAAGAGAAAAGTCATTATAAATGCAAGAGGAAAATAATACTGTATAAAATATTGGTAGCAGCTACATTTTCTCACTTAGAATAACTGGAACATGCAGGTTAAACTTGAACAAAGTGATTGTAAATTTGCAGCCAAAGCTTAGTGTAATAGCAGAGAAGATTCTGTGCAGGCAGTGGGTTGAGATACTGAGTGTTTGAGGTAGAGGATATATCTACATGTGCGTGCACAGGCAGTACCATTAGACATAATGTTGCTGGCTTTATAAGCCCAGGCTGCTGTTTTTAATCCCAGCCTTTATATAAGTGGATTTCAGTAATCCACAAAAGACAGTGGAGTTTGCCATTGCACATTAACAAGTAGACAAGTACAAAACAAATCAATCAGAAGTAAGGCAAAATGTGACTGATTTATTGACCAAAAAAAAAAAAAAAAAAAAAAAA